AGAAAAGTCGAGTTGTACTCGTGAATTTTCGAGCTGGTGACAAGAACCTGTCATCACCAGCTTGAAAATTCACGATACCATCTCGACTTTTCCGAAGAACCTCTTCTATTTTTCAGTATATCAACTCGGAATGCATACCACCTCTGATCTACATATATATATATATATATATATATATATATTGAAAATAAGTAAGATTCTTTGGGAAGGGAATAAACTTTAATGAGTAAATTTTCGAGTCTGGATCCCCAGCTCGTCGTCAGACTTTTGGGCAATGTACAAAAGCAGTTAACTATTTAACCGTGTCAAACAAGTGATTCTATGGTTGGCCGAAGTCTGCGCCAATGCGCGTCAACGATTTCGTCATCCCTTCGGCATTGGCTGCGCTCGCTTCCATTTGTCCTTGAGAAATTTGTATGTGGCATTGTTGGCGCCTGCCCAATAAGGAAAGGCCGCGAATTCCTGGAAGCAATGCACTCAGACGAGGCATGCATCAATCGGCATATCGATTTAGATGCCACATACAAATTTCTCAAGGACAAATGGAAGCGAGCGCAGCCAATGCCGAAGGGATGACGAAATCGTTGACGCGCATTGGCGCAGACTTCGGCCAACCATAGAATCACTTGTTTGACACGGTTAAATAGTTAACTGCTTTTGTACATTGCCCAAAAGTCTGACGACGAGCTGGGGATCCAGACTCGAAAATTTACTCATTAAAGTTTATTCCCTTCCCAAAGAATCTTACTTATTTTCAATTAAATTTCTTGGGATGCCCGTTTTCCAGCATATATATATATGTATACCGACTGTCGCGGGCCCGAGCTTGAGTCAAAAGTGTACGCAGTTGTTGGCACGCGTATCAAGTGGCCCGAAGACGACATGCGTAAGCGGCAACGCCGAGGATCCAGAACGCCGGCAACTACCACTTTACCGTTTGGGCCTTAATATAGATTAAGCTAACCCCAGCAGAGCAAAGCGCATCTAAATGCTCTTTCGGTAATAAAGACTGTCCTCGGTCCAATGGGAATATGGCGAACAATTCGTATTTGCACCGGATGCCATTCTTAATCACGGACACTCAATCTACTGACCTCATCGGACATGGGGTAAGCACGGTTTACTGAGACGATGTAGTAAACACGCAACTCAGAAAGCAGCGATACCCAAGCTTCGTCCGGCTGCGGCAAGTTGATAAGGATATATGGTAGAAGTGTTAACTTGATGCTGAAATGCATTGTCCACTCGAGAAGAACACTTGAGTAGGGTCGTAATATTAATCATCATGCAGCATAATCCAAAGATATATTTTCAGTTACTTCAGGATGCCAGTTTTTGAATGAACCTCTTTCCGGCTACCTGTAAAAACAGCACTCTGTAAAAAATGTCTACTTACATAGTATAGTATTTTCGATACCCTTATAAACTAAAATATATTTCATAGGAAATATGCATACAAATATCCAGTCTTTTGAAAGAAAATGCCGCTTGAAAAAGCAGTGGCAATGGTAAATCCTTGTGATGACTCACGCGAAGTAAAACAATCTCCAGTAGCAGGTTGCTGTAGCCTGAAGAATGCTCTGAGTAATATCCAGAAAGTTCAATTTAACTCACGTCCGGCGTGTTGAGTTCGAGGAATAAAAGCTAACTGTCGCAAATGACTAAAAATGGATTGAGGCGCATGAGCGTATTCAATAAAACAACAGCACCTGACAGCATTCAAATACAAAATACGCTTTTTCAGGAGCCGAAAGCGGTTACTGTAGGCACTTTAGCATATTTAAACAGAAAAACAGAAAAGTTCGGGTCAACAGGAAAATTTGAGGAGAAAAATCAAGAGTGAGCTTAGACCTACGATTTAAACTTCATTTATTTGCGCGACATCGCAAAACAGCAAACGGCAGACCGAAGTGTAGTAACACGACTGCAAACTATTTCGAACGCCGCCATCATTCGTACTTATTGCTTGTCTTCTCGTTATAATCATTTAGATAAATTCATTTGGTCCTAAGAGATAGACTGATAAGAGTACGACTTCGAGCAGTACTCCTGATAGTACCAGATAGTTTCCAGGCGGTTGATTTTCTACGTCATTCAACTTCATTTTCTCCTGTTGTTCAATTGAA